TGTGCATAAGGTAGCTGTGAGTCAGTACCGACTCGATGACACCTAAAAACAATAACAAGTTTAGGCAAGTTGATTTTGACTCATAGTGATCCTGTACAGGGTTTCTAAAGAGCAACTGGTAGGTTTGAACCACTAACTTTGTAGTTAGCAGTTCAGTGCATATCCTACAGCACCACAGAAGGACTCCTATATATTCTAGGATGTTTAGACTATATATATAAAAAAAAAAAACACCTAAGATCTTTAGAAGTGAAACACTGTGTTAATATAATGGTTACTCACCCAGAAAACAGTCTCAACAGATGATTTAGAGTCTCTTTAGTATCACATTACTAAGCTATATATTCTTTCTAAGCATACATAGATTCTTTTAATATTTTATCCATTTATTTACCCAAATATTGCTGATCCTATACATTTTATAACAATATCATTTATCAAAACATCTTCTATAAGCATATTTATTCTGTTTTAAAGTATTGCCTTGCAAGTATTCCAAAATTATTGTTGTTGTTAGATCCCACCGAGTCAGTACCAACACATAGTGACCTTATGCACAGCAGAACAAAAACTGCCCAATTCCTATGCCAACCTCAATATTGTTGCCACGCTTGAGCCCATTGATGCTGCCACTTTGCCAATCCATCTCGCTGGGGGTCTTCCTCTTTTTCTCTGACCATCTACCTTACCAAACATGATATCCTTCTACAGTGACTTGTCCCTCCTAACAATATGTCCAAAGTATGAGAGACGAAGTTTGGCCATCCTGGCCTCCAAGGAGCACTCTGGCTGCACTTCTTTCAACATAGATCTGCTGGTACTTTTGGTAGTCCATGGCACTTTCAATATTCTCCTCCAACACTATAACACAAAAGCATCAATTCTTCTACAGTCTTCCTTATTCACTGACAAGCTTTTGAATGCATATAAGGTTATTGAAAATGCCATGGCTTGGGTCAGGTGCTCCTTAGTCTTCAAGCTGATATCTTTGCTCTTCAACAATTTAGAAAGGTTTTGTGCAGCTGATTTGCCTAATGCAATAATATGTAGTTTGATTTCTTGAGTGCTGCTTCCATGAGTGTTGACAGTTGATTCAAGAAT